GTGTCATCATGTCAATCTTGATTTTCTCCTTGAGCATAGCCATCTTGAGCATGTGACTTGATTTCATTCAATGAGTGTGAGTTAACTTCAAATTTATCAAGTCACTCCTTTATTAATTCATCTAGGATTTGATCCTCCACTTCAATGTGACCGTCATGGTTTGATTAGTATCTAGACTAAATGCAAATACTTCCTTCTTCACCTTAGCTAGGTTCCTCGGCCATCAAGCCATCGCTTGTCCTTCACCCTTGGTTGGTACCTCGAAGCCTTTCCTTGCTATCTTCACCATCTTAAGCCATCAAGTCACACTTGGTGTTGAATCATCCATTTAGATCATCTGTATAAATGTCTTTCAATGTAGCAAGCTTTAGTATGTGAGACCATTCCATATGCAATCCCTTATGTCTCATTAATAAGTTCTTCAACGTGCTTGCTTTCATATAAGCCATAGAAATCCCGCAATGAGTAAGCCTTGTATGAATTACATTTGCATTGTTGTCTTGTGTTTGAACTAGATTGTTTACAACAACACATCATTTTGGCTTTCATCAATTAACTGTGAGATAACCTATTTTCTGTCCAACACTTAGCAAACGGGTTAGACCTTTAATCACGTTGTCATTTGATTATCCAAAACCCACTAAAGGGCTTGATGCACTTTCACCATGGCTGCTGTAGCCGCCGCCGTCCATGGCAACACAAACATCATTCACGGCTCCATGAAAGGACCGCTTCGATGCCTAGAGGGGGGGTGAATAGGGTCTACAAACTTTTACGACAAAAGTGAGCACATAAAATCTTCACAACATAGGCAAACCCGGTCAGACCGAGATCACAACTCGGTCAGGTGGACTCTAGGTCAGACCGGGATTATCGGTACTTCCGGTAGCTATCGGAAGTTTTGACACTTCTGCGCCCAAAAGTGCTTCGAGCCTTTATCCCCTTATATGTAGATGCAACCTGGAGTATGGCAATGCTTATAGATATGTGAGCGCTTGCACACAGCTCCTGCAAACACAAATCACCACACCCGAGTAGCACAAGCGGAATCACAAATAATATATGCAATGTAAATAAGTGTGAGGCAAACCAAAGGGGAGACGCAAGGATTTGTTTGACCAGAGTTCGGAACACCTAAAGGTGTCCTACGTCTCCATTGTGGAAGCCGATGAGGACCCAACCAAGGTCAACTCGTGGCCAGACCCGAAACGGTCTCTTTCCACCAATTCCACTAAGGGGTCTTCTTTCCTCTTTCAGCGGGGAGACTAGCCCTTCTTACAAGGCCACCACAACAGCCCACACACCCTAGGGTGCTTGTCGGTGACACTTTGCCACCTAGGAACAAAGTTCCAAGAGAAACGAACACAACATACCAAAATTCTTCGACTTGCTCAAGTGCTCAAGGTTGGGACAGCTCACACAATATCTCTCAAGCTCTCTAAAGCCACAAAGGCAAGCTCACAAAGATTGGTTCACTCTCTAATCAAAGAATATGAAAGTTTGGAGCTAGAACACTCACAAAGAGGAAGAGAGGAGTGGCCAAGTGCTTCTGGTCCTATGTGGAAGTGGAGAGAACCAGCAGCAACAAAAGGAGGAGAGGGAGTGGTATAAATAGCCACCAAAGCCAAACGAGCCATTGGGCTGTGTCAGCAAACCCGGTCAGACCAGGTTGACAACCCGGTCTGACGGGGATTTCAAACTAAACTAGATGTTGGGCTAAAGTCGGTCTAACTAGGATGAATCCTGGCCTGACCTACTCTCGGTCTGACCTACATGTCATCCTAGTCTAACCTGGTTTGGCTGGCAAGCTAGAATTTTGGAGTTTTCTCTCACTCTTTCTTTCTCTCAAGTCTTTCTCACATAGGATAACTTGAGCACTATTATTGCTTGTCTCAAACTTCAGTGGTGCATCCCTCTTAAGTGTTGCAAAACTCAACTCAAATAAAGATAAAAAGATTTGAACCACCAATTTGAGCTTTTCTTCAACTTAGGCTTGATTGCCACTTTGATCATGCAATGTTGAGGGTCTTCATCACTTCAACTTCTTGAGCTTATCCATCTTGAGCATGTGACTTGTGTCGAAGATTTCAAGTCACAATGAACATTTGATTTGATCTTCCACATTGAAAAACACCACTTGATTAATGCCTCGACTAAATGCAAGTAAATTCCTTCTTCACTTTTAGCTAGGTCCATCGGCCACCAAGCCGTCGCTTGCCCTTCACCTTTTGCTTAGTACCTCAAAGAGATTTTCTTGCTATCTTCTCCTTCTCAAGATTAACATGTCTTGTCAATGCTTCTAACCAAGATATGAATACCATTTCATTTGTATTGTTGTCTTGTGCTTGAACTAGATTGTTTCCAATAATCCTCACAAGCTTGACAACTATCTTTGATATTTGTTCTTACAAGCTTTATAATTGAGACCATTCCATATGCAACGCTTTATGTCTCATTTATTTGATATCACACTTGCTTGCAAAACCTTGCTTCACAATAAACCTTAAACTCAATTTGACGTTTATATGATCACCACGCATTATATGAGTCCGACACATAATAATTCACCTGGGACAAAATACCTACAAGTCTCATAAATATTATTAGTCCCTTAATCATGTTGTCATTCAATGCGCCAAAACCCACAAGGGCCTAGATGCACTTTCACTCCGTCCTCAAGGCAAAGCCACGCTGTGCGCGGAGGTGCGGCATCTTCAACACAGCAGCATCCTTGCCGCTGCTCAACTATGAGTGCACCGGCCGGCGGCGTCATCGGTCGAGCAAGCGGTGACGTGGGTCGAGCACCTCGAGGAGGAAGGCAAGGGCGACGAGGAAGATGGGCAGGAGGAGGATGAGGACCTGTGCTTGCGGTCACGGGGGCTGACGCGGACGTGTTGCTGCCGTTGCGTCGGGTCTCCTTCACACGGACAGGAGGCGAGCGGATTTGGAGGTGCTGGCATTCGTGGAGGAGCTAGTCGGGGGTGGGAAGGTGTGCGACCACCATGGTGGGGATGGCCCCCGATGGAAGTCGTCCGTCGTCGGACCCGGTATAGTTGCGGCGGTGGTGTGTGAACGAATCGACAGGTGAAGAAGGTGTGGGCGGCGGTGGGTGAGGGAAGACTCGGGAGGTGACGGGACTGAGACTTGAGTCATGAGAGAGCCGGGCTCAAAGGAAACGAAGCCCTTTTTTGTTTTTTTGGATGCAGGCCCACGGGTGCTTTAAGCACCGCGCTGCCTAGGCTCAAAACTCGTTCAGGCAAACAAACATGGGCACCTGCAGCTAGCGGGCCTGCATCGGGCCCTCATCCAGGCAAACAAACACGCCCTTAGTTACCGGTTGGTTGTCTTGGTGATGCCAAGTTTGAAAAGAATCTTAGTGTTTTCTACCAAGACAGAGGAGAGAGGAGGTTGAGGATCTAGAATACCTTATAAATTTTGAACTTTAGATTCTTCATATTTCAGGACGGACTGAGTAGTACCAGTGCTTCATGTCTCAACCTGTTCATGCTAACCCAAAGTTAATCTTTTATCTATTTATAGCATTATCTTTTGTGGTGGTGACCCAAATCTACTAATGAGCTAAAGGCATTCTTGGAAAGATCACACTCTTTCTCATATGGATATAAGTGGACTAGCCCGCGAGCCCACATATAAGCTTAATTTTGTGGGTTCGCAAGCTAGCCCACTTGCACCCCCATTTTCACAGCGGAGGAGAATGCTGATAGGTGCGAGCCGCCCATCAGCGTTAGGGTGGATTTTGTGTACTCGTGAACGACATGCATTATCAAATTGTGATATTTTTTAGAATTTGTCGGTCTGGTCTTCGAAGGTGCTCATAGGAGTGAGTAGGGTTTGCATGCATGCATGCGTTCGGAGGTGTGAGTGTACATGCACAGTGAGCGTTTACTGTGTAATTTAAAAAATCAAATCTGTTTATGTGCCTCGTCTATCTTGAAATACAAGTAACTCCAAGAGTGCAATTCCCATGTACATATCAGGGTTTAGGTACATATTTCCACACTACTTGTACTAAAAATTGATTTAAGCATAACTCAACATACCCGGTATGCAGGCCGCAGGCGCGACTACTTTCATAGTCTGCCAACTGACTACATGTCTCTGTTACAACATGCAAGGTCCGCCTGAGGGAGAACACTAGTAGGGATCTTAAATATAGAGCACTAGTAGGGATTTTAGATATAGATTTGTACTATGTAATCATGGTTGATTTCCCATCACACTTAAAAAAATAGTTCTAAATACCTTGATTTCCTATCACAATAAGCCCCATTCGCTCGGAGAAATCTGGATGAATCTGAAGAAATTTGTGAGATAAAAACACCGTTCTGGATGAAAAAAGAAGCGGATCAAGCCGGGTTTAAGGGCACGCGAACATGGCCAAAATGTCGCCTATCACAATTCACAACCATAAATATGTTTGTGTCGCACTTGCACGTATACTAGTATCTCAAACCGAAATAAAACCAACGGCAAAAAGACATTTCTAGGCGAACAGCTTGCACTCTGGCTTAGGCTTAAGGCCGACCAAGGATGAAGGATGAAATTGCAAACACAGATAATTGGAAAACATTATGAACTACTCATGTAATTATCATTTAAAGCAAAAGCATATATCTCAAACTGAAATAAAACCAACTTCAAAAAGACATTTCCGTTACAGCTCCAGATGCATACATGACTTTAGCCAAGTACAGCATTCGCCATAAGTTCTCTTCTTTCCCCCTCATCTCTCTAACTTACAACAACAACAACAACAACATAGCCTTTCAGCCCCCAACAAGTTGGGGTAGGCTTCTATCTCTCTAACTTACACTTCAAGTTTTCAGATGCTTCCGAACTCCTAGACAGATCTGCCAGGAAGTTCTCAGACGCCTACGAACTCCTAGACAGATCTGCAGGCCAGGCCAGTTTGTCACCTGGGTTGCCGGGAGAAGCCAGCCACTGAAGCAATGTAAAGGTTACTTTACTGTAAGTTAAGCTCAGAGGATGCGGTCCTGAAGATCAGTAATGATGTTGGATGCCATCGATGTCAACTTTTTCCCGGTTTCCCCTGCCATGTTCTTGAGAGAAGACAGATCCTGAGTGGCCTGCGGAGACAAACACAGCAATGGGTTAACACAAGTATGCCAAGGAAACAAAATTAATTCAACCCAACTGTTACCTGGAATGAGATTCTGTTGATCAAATCTGAAGCACTGAGATCCACGCTAGGATTGTTTGCTGGATGGCCAAATAGATCAGCACTTGATATGGCAGAAGAACCCTGCAACGAGTTGAAGTCGGGAGGAGTATAAGATTCAACACGGTATCAATTATTATGGTGACTATGAAATAGCGACGAAGTAGTACTTACAGAAAACTTTTGGAGAGAGACTTGAGCGTCCTTCTCAAAACTGGCTTGATCACCAAAAAACTGAGAGGATGAAATTGATTTTGCATTCGAGAATTTCTGTCTTGCTTCACTGCTTTCCTCAATCTGAACAACATTGAACGAAACCAATTAATTCAAACAAACTACTTGGAAGTCACTTGGAAATTGGGGGTCAAAATACAAAATTTAAATAAGATTGCAACATTTTTACTATAACATGTACAGTAGTATGCAACAAAGTCTCTTCTAAAAAAAGGAACAGACACATGATCTGTTATGCATATAACTATGCAAAAGCAGCATGGTATCAGTGAGAACGCAGACTTGTCATGGTTAGAACGAGATGAAATATTTTAGGGCTAGCTACAAGTTAAAATGCATTGGTAACAAATTATATATCAAAAAAATTCTGTGCACAGCAACCATGCCCAAATTAACATAAAGTAACCAACAGTTTGGAGATTTCTTGAGCTAGAGCAGTATCAATGGGATAGGATCACCAATCCACTGGCTGCAAGATAACTATGCAGGAGTCAAAGTATTTATATACATCATGCGAAATAAAGAGAAGTCAGAACATTTTATCCATCTTCAAATGTGTACACCCAATCTATATGCAGATATGATGGGACTTTTTTTTACCACCCAAAACATGAATATAACAGTTCAAATTCTTGTGTTACTCACTGATAAGGCTTCAACATGGACACATCAGTGTTTTTGGTAAAAAAGTAACAAACTAATTATTCATAGCATGTACCCACAGATTTTGATGACCTAACAGTGGGAATGCACACTCCCAAAAGAACTAGATGTTGTTTGTTTCAATCTCTAAATAATTCCCCTGAGTATTATAAATTAAGGTGGAATGCTGGAACTAAATGTTCCTCTTTGTAGTTCTGAATTTACAAAATACTTGCTCAATGGAGTTCACATATTCATGAGTTACAATATATGTCTGAATAAAACAGTTACCTGCACTTTGGATGAACTGGATGTAGATTTTTTGTGATACCCACTGTCCATCCCAAATTCAGCAAAGAAGTTGGACGACTTTGGGGGTGCAACATGTCCACTCATGTGGTTGTCTTCGGAGCTGCTCCCAGTCTTAGGAGCAGGTGCGTTTTCTACATATTCAAATCGAGAAGTATGGCGTTTGCTCCTAGTTGTAGTACTCTCAGTCACCAATGATGGCAGGACGGGAGCTGGTTCTTCGGGCTTCTGCTCATAGAGGCTTTCATTTTGCTACAATGCAGAAGTTGGACAGGAAATTCCACTTTACTTAAACAGACAATAAAACAAACATGTTTTCGAGATTAGTGGGAAGCAATAAAATTAGAGAGTTATAAAGCTAACTTCCATTTGTCACAGTACAAAATAGGAGAACAGATATTGTTACTTGACAAATGACAACTATATGAAGAGAAACAGGACCAAATGGCAGTGCGTTCTCAAGTCAATGAAGTTTACACTGAATAAGGCATACCTTTGATGTAAGCTTCCGTGCACCAAGTCCACCAGTCTTATTTCCAGGCTTTTTAGCACCAATTGGCTTCTTGAAAGAATGGGTTGGAGCTCTAGGCGAATGAACAATCTCAGACTCTTTCTTTTCACTTACATTTTCTTTTGACACCTCTGTCAGCTTGAGATCTGGAAATGCAGCAGCTTGATTTGGAGCCTGGGAGGCTGCAACTGGGGAAGATGGCCAACTATTGTTGCCATCTTCTGTGGAGCTTTTAGCAACCTCTTTAGCAAGCAACTGCCGGTACAAGTCAGCTGCTCTTGAAGTATACTTTGCTTCAATTTTTCCACCATCTGTCCAACCATGCTGTTTAAAGAAAGCTTGTGCACGGTTGTTTCCTCCATAGACCATCATTTTCAGCTGTTCTGGAGTCCACGAGTCCAAATTTGTTGACCTGCATATTGTAGCAGTTATTTCAGTATTGGTTCAGTCATTCGATGTGCAACTGCATAAAGTAAAAATTTTAGTGAACTATGTTAAACTTCCCAAAGGATAAGATGTTAATGGTCAGGACCAGAAGGGAAAAGCATGTCATGTGCCAAAGATGTGAGACCTATATGACAAAGAATCACATTCAGAGAAAGTCAACCTGGACCATAACTCATATTTAATAGATCTACTCAAAGTCAGATGCCAACAATGTTGAGTCCGTGATACTGATGTCACTCAGGATCATGACAGAGGAACTTTACAAATGTACCTTGTATCATACTGTTCTGGTGACACTCCGAAATTATGAATAAACATGAAACTAAAGCAAAATTTTGGACCTCGACCTTTCCCTCGTGCATAGCATAGCGCACACTAATATGTATATGCCACACCATATACAACAGACTTTCGTATTATATATCACATGCATCCAAACAAGTGTGGCATACATACCAGAGCACACAAAATTTATAAGCAGATAAAACTGGAGAAGAGAGAAGCAAAAAATCACATCAGGTACAACAAAATTCAGAATTTTCATTCATATAATCGTATTTATTATAATATTGAAGATGACACCAATAGGCGCTTTGTGCGAAGAATCCAAGAATTTGAGGTCAGAGAGGTGTTGAAAAATGATGAAAGGAGGTAAGGCGATGGGACCGGATGGTATTCCAATCGAGGTGTGGAGATGCATTTTCTTAATAAGACAAGTTATGGAGCGGTATAGGGAGAAGGAGAAGGACCTACACATGATTTTTATGTTATGTGGTGGGCTTTGGACAAACATAAAGGTATTAAGGACTCAGACAACAATGTTGTGACTAGTGTTTGAACAAGTGATATGACTTCCCGATTAGGATAGGACTATGCTATTTGATGAAAGCCTAACAGAGTGAATCGTAAATTGAGTTATGGCGGAGACTTTGAAGTCCAAAGGTTTTCGACTCAAGAAAACTAAAACAGAGTATATGAGATGTGACTTCAAAGACTACTACTGGGGAGGAGGAAAATATTAGTTTGGAAGGTCAAGTAGTGCCTAGGAATGATATCTTTCGATATTTATGAAGATGTTAATATTAGAATTAAAAGCGAGGTGGGAATGAATGTGCGTATATGTGACAAAAGGGTCACAAAAGCTATAGTATGGCTAACCAAGCTGTTCAACCATATTTTTCGATCGAACAAGATGTCTGACGAGTGGAAGAGAAGTATATTGGTGCCGATCTACAAGAATAAAGGGGATATTCAAAATTGTACTAATTACTGGGGAATTAAGTTGATAAGTCATACTATGAAGCTATGTGAGAGAGTTATCGAGCATCGCTTGAGAGCAATAACGTGGGTCTCTAAGAACCAATTTGGTTTCATGCCCGGAAGGTCAACCATGGAAGCCATTTTCTTAATAAGACAAGTTATGGAGCGGTATAGGGAGAAGGAGAAGGACCTACACATGATTTTTATTGACTTGGAGAAGGCTTATGATAAAATACCAAAGAATGTTATGTGGTGGGCTTTGAACAAACATAAAGTCCTAACGAAATACGTCGGGCTCATTAAGGACCTGTACAACAATGTTGTGACTAGTGTTTGAACAAGTGATAGAGACACAGATGACTTCCCGATTAGGATAGGACTACATCAAGGGTCTGCTTTGAGCCCTTATCTGTTTGACTTAGTGATGGATGAGGTCACAAGAGACATACAAGGAGACATCCCTTGGTGTATGCTTTTCGCGGACGATGTAGTGCTATTTGATGAAAGCATGAGGACAAAGGAAGAAAGAGAAGTCACAACTTAGAGTGGGACAGAGTGAATCAAGAAATTGGAGTTATGGCGGGAGACTTTGAAGTCCAAAGGTTTTCGACGTTGTAAAGGAAATTTGAGGAAGAAAAAATGCAATATGGCTGCACATTGAGTATATGAGATGTGACTTGCACTACTACTTTCGGGAGGAGGAAAATATTAGTTTAGAAGGTCATTGGAGTAGTGCCTAGGAATGATACCTTTTCGATATTTAGGATCAATGCTATAGAGGAAGTTGGGATATTGATGAAGATATTAGCTATAGACATGGAAGAATTAAAGAGAAGGTGGATGAAGTGGCATGCACCAAGCATCCTCACCTTGCAGAGTTTGTCCTATGTGACAAAAGGGTACCACAAAAAGCAAAAAAGGCAAGTTTTATAGGAGTTTTGGAACTCCGTTGAGGATTGCCTTAGAGCTTCTCTACCACTTATCATTGTGTTGAGGGTGGTTAATGGTGATGAGAGGCCTGCCATGCCGAGAGGTTGTCGCCTCATGAATCATGCAAAAGAGAAGATCAAGGCTAGCTTTCATGAAAACAAGAGAAGCTTGCTCAACAAGATCATACAAATTATTGAGAGTGCTGGGATAGGCAAATGGATACCCCACTCTATGGCGCTGCCCTCCTTTTTTGCCTCAGAATTCTATACCATTGAACCATGCTGAATGCAAAGAGAAGACAAGGGCAAGCTTCTTATAGAATCACAAGTGGACACGCTGGGATAGGCAAAATGTTATCCAAAAGGAGAATGATGAATATGTTGGTCATCTAAGGGGTTGTTTCAATGATGTGCTTGCCCTAATGGTGAAAGATGAGAGCATTAGAAAAAGCTCTATGAAGATCAACGTGGAGATACATGTTCAACCATGAAGTGAGAAAATTTGTATTTAAGGCTTAAAAATGTATTGTTAATTTAGTTATGCGTTGATGGTGGTTGATCCATTGACCTACAAAGCGGTCATCACAAGAAGGATCGTTAAAGTTTTAGTAACTTTGAACGATCAATTATAGATCATATAAGATTATTTGGATATAAAAGATTGAATGATTTGGTTTATGTTTCCTATAATCGGAAAATGAATTGAAGAAAAGCTTGTCCAACACCTTGAAGGTTGAGATGGTTTGGACATGTCCACGTGAGCTTCGAGGTCGTAATCTTCCTAGGGAGACCTCCAAGGCATATATCAAGAGTGGTTGAAAGAAGCAGGGAGAGGAAGAAGAGATCATTTTGGATGATGATGATATAGATGATTTTGGTGAACAACCAATGGATGCTATCAAGATAATGGAATGCTTCTAAGTCGAGGAGTAACGATGACTTTGAAGAGAGATTGGAAGTTTGAGAGGAAGTTCGAAGTTGACTTGGATAGAGGCAATAAAAAGAGACTTGAAAGGATGGAATATAACCAAAGACTTAGCCTTAGATAGGAATGCTTGGAAAACAGATATTCCCGTGCCTGAACCTTGATTGTTTCTGGGTTTCAACTCTAGACTACCCAACTTATTTGGGATTTAAAGGCTTTGTTGTTGTTGTTGTTGTATTGAAGTTGTACATATATGTACACGTGATCAATCAGTCACCCACTGCAGCAGATTAATATTACTAATATGTACACGACTACACGTGATCAATCAGTCACCCACTGCGGCAGATTAGTATTACTATTATGCATTGAGGCATCGCCACAGGTCCACGTACGTGGACAGGTGTGAGACGAGTAGGGAAGCAGGTGAGGCGAGAGGACCTGACGAAGGAGACGTGGACGCCGAGGCTGCGGTGCACCGCTGAGCAGTCGATGCAAAGGAAGACGCCGTAGGTGACGGACGCCCACGTCGGGTTCTTGGCGTTGCAATCGAAGCACATCTGCATGCGCGCACCACCATCAGAACCGGAATTCGCACACAGAGAAACACACACAGACGACAATCACACAGAGCGAGAGAAAGTGCGATCAATCCCGAATCCACAATCGAATCGATCACCCGTAAAATCCAATCGAATCCACAGCACCTTGTTGTCCGATTTGGCGCGGAGCTTGCGGAAGACGGCGTTCTTATCTGCCAAGGCCTCCGTCGCCGCCATGGCGCCCACCCACACCAGCAATGAACCCGATCGAATTGGACCCTCTCCGGACTGGAATCTTCTTCCCCGTGCTCGATCGATGGGTGGGCCAATCGATCGGCGCGGTAGAGAGAGGGAGAGGAGTGGCCGGGTGGGAGGAGATGGAAGGGAAGGGGTGGAGGCGAGGAGGAAGAGGGAAAAATGGAGGAGGTGGGGTGGACGGTGCTGCCCCTGCCAGCCCTCCGCCTCTGCCTTTGCGTGCGTGCGTTGCGTCTCATTTCAGCTTTTCAGCTGTCTTTGGTATTTCCACTATAAAAAAAAGCTGTCTTTGGGATTTTGCTCAAAAAAAAAAGCTGTCTTTGGGATCGCATATCTCCTCGTATGGAATCCTGGATCACGCTCGGGCACCCGACAAAGTCATGTCACTAGCACGCTAACTTTAGATACAGTAAGCTTGTGGTATTGACCGTTCGATCTAGATCGTTGTGCGTCGTCGTTTGTTAGTCTACAACTTGGCTCGTGAATCATCAACTCCACTCAGTCAAGTTCTCGTTCCTCCATCTCGCGCCACCTCCACCTGTTCCAGCTCTTTCGTACTGCCTAAGGTGCCTATCACAACCTTCTCTTGAGCCTTCCTTTGCAACAGGCGTGGGCACCATCTGCACTCCTCTGTTGTAGCCAATAATACATCGGGTGTCGCAGCCCTCACCGTCCGCTTCGTTCTCCCGCAGAGCATCCTCAGCCATTGTGCTCCTGTTTGCACATGGTGCATCATGAAGTACAAGGCATCGACACTGAGGCGCATCGACTCCAGCGGCGGCAGCGAATCATCGAGGACATGCATGAAAGAGAGACAATATATCCGAGGTCTAATCAACCTCCTGGTCATGGATCTCTTCTCGCCTTAGCCTAGGATGCCAGGGGCAGCACGGTGGCGCCAATGGTAGGTCCGTTACTCCCGATTGCACACATCGGCCCCACCACCAATGCTTCTCCCTAGAATCCCGTGACGAGGCGAGAAAAGATCCATGGCTAAGAGCTTGGCTAGGTCTCAAATATGTTTCTTTTTAACGCATGTCTCAGCGATTCACTTCACCAACAAACACCCGTCACCGTGGACTTGATGTACGTGCCTTAGCTCCGACACCTAGTACTTCACGATGGCGATGCCTAAGGGCAAGTGAACGCAAACGATGGAGGGACAACCGTCATTGATCTCTATCCATCCTCACGTTGTTCGCTTCCGCTTGATCTAGTTGCCAACCCTTAAGAAGAGGCCAAACTTCTCAAGAGTCGCATGCGACAAAATGCTAGCGGTGATCACCCCTTGTCTCCCCGATGCTCCTACCTTCCCCTCACCTTCGAGTGCATCTCTCTATACCATCACCCATCACGTTCTCCCTCGATTAACACCTGCACATGAGCAACCACCATGTACGAGCATAAGCCCACGACTTGACTCAACATCCGTCCATGCAACACCACTCCAATAAGTGTATTGTAGGATTCTCGCAGCCAACGTAATTCCAACACTTGTAAATGAACAAATGCAAGTTTATCACTTTGCAATGCCAATTTCATTACAAACCAATTTTTCATCACATACAACATTACAGTTGGCAAGAGCCCATCCAATATTATTGTCGGTCATGCACAAGTCGTTTTTAAAGGTAGCCCCCGTCAGGTCATGTTCTACTTTGAGGCTGAGCTATAGCCACTGTTTTCGAGTTTAGCAACCTGGCACCATGTAGCCAGTGGAACAGAGGGAGGAAAGGTATGTATAGGTTCGTTGGTAGTTTAAATTTATACTATTCCTCATAGGAGTTTTAAAAAATTGTTCCTCATACATGTTAGGTTAGGCACTGATGCGGTATGTTGGTCTTTGTTATCATGCCTTCCACCCCAAAACAAGTACATTTCTGGTTATACACCTCAATATTATTTTGGGACAGAGTGTTCCATGAAATTGTTAACATCCTCATTTCTAGTAGAATAATAATATATCAATTTTTTGCAACAATTTCAGATAATCTACTAGCATAATAATTTATTTTGTATGGTCTAGAAGAACTACAACACATGTCATCACACCTCCTATCATGTTGAGCTCCACCTCAGGGGTGAGAACAAATTTCTCAGAGGGGCCATAAGGACATTGAGTTCCTAAAACATGAGTTGATCTACATGAATGCAATCTTGCAAGAGCTGTAAAACAAAGAAACCCTTAACACTGAGACAAAAGTTTGGATCGACAAACTGCGCAAGCTATCCTATGATAGCGAGGATTACATAGACACCTTCAAATAGCTTGTTCAAATATATTCTTCTTGCTCCCTATTGTAGTTAATAACTTCTTCCAATATATTATTTGAAATGGAGGGAGTAACAATCTAAACAAGAACTCAAACAACCGATAACAATAACATTATGGGAAAAAATTGAGCCATATAGATTTCTAAAGAAAATTCCAAAATATAGGTACGTATCAGCTCCCACGCCGATTAGTTTGGAAACCTTCTCACCGTACATAGCACATGCCCCAACCAATCCCTTAGATTTAGGAAAGCAATCTGATTGGGAGAGAGAAAATGGCCTGATTTTCTTTTTTTTCCTCGGTCTCACATCCTTCCCCAAGCCGTGCATTAATATTGGTGCTTAAAAACTATATGGCTTATATTAAGGAACGGAGGGAGTAGTTAATAACTTCTTCCAATATATAATTTGGAATGGAGGGAGTAACAAATCTAAACAAGAACTCAAACAATCGATAACAATAATGTTATGGGAAAATTTTGATAACCCAAACAATCTGTACCAAATGGTACAAGAACAGATAACAATAGCATTATGGGAAAAAATAATAACTCGAACAATATACATGGTACCAAATGGTACAGGAAGGCAATATGAGCACCACCATCTCCAACCAGAATTCTGAATTTCTATAGAATCTGCACATTTTTTCTTACAACTTGCACGTGAATTGCTTCAGTACCATTGTTGTCACCATGTCCCATGCTTGGTTATGCAGAGAAGCACTTTCAATTGCAGCAGCAACACAAATTATAAGAGATAATTAGAGTGTATAACAAATTGAGCTCACCAACCTTCTGTGCTTGTTGTTCTTTCATCTTAACTGGATCTAACTTCATATTTCAAACTTTCGGCACCGGTCATTATTTGGAGCAGAATGCCCACTTAAATATACATCATATCTGGAACTAGAAACTTTTATGGTAAATTGCAGCAACCCTACTGAATTGATGCCTCCATGAAGCAGCAACCCTTGAGCAGATCTTGGAAGAACATGCTTGAAGGAACTACAATAATTAAAAAAGAAAAAGGAACAAACTACTAACTACTCTATAAAGCTAATTACCAAATGGTGCTCCTTACTTTGACGAAAACTAAAGCGCAACATACCATGTCGATTACATGTTTGAAAGTTTAAAAAAAACTAGTAGTATGACCGTGCTAACGCTACGGTAAAAGACAAAATATAAAACAAGATAAAATTTACAAAAAATAACACAAACAACCAGATTCATTAAGTATGACACTGAAAGCTCTAGTTTTGGTTTTGATGAATTGATGAAACCCTAAGTGCTAACCTAGTTTATCAAGTGATTATAAGATAGGTAGCATATTCCAAGTGGTGAAGCAAATGAAGATCATGGCATGATGATGGTGATGATCAAGTGCTTGGACTTGAAAAAAAAAAAAGAAAAACAAAAGCTCAAGGCAAAGGTATAAATGGTAGGAGCCATTTTGTTTTGGTGATAGAGACACTTAGTGAGTGTGATCACATTTAGGATTGATAGTCGTACTATTAAGAGGGGTGAAACTCGTATCGAAATACGGTTATCAAAGTACCACTAGATGCTCTAACTCATTGCATATACATTTAGGATCTAGTGGAGTGCTAATACCCTTGAAAATGTTTATAAAAATATGTTAACATATATGCACAAGATGATACACTTGGTGGTTGGCACATTTGAGCAAGGGTGAAGAAGATAGAGTTGAAAAGGAGTTAGTCACGCTGGTCACGCAGTGACCGGACGCTGGGGTCCTACGTTCGGTCAGCGGAAGCAGTGAAGACGCTGGCGTCGATCTTTGACCGGACGCTGGGTCACTTAGTGACCGGACACTGATGGGGTGCGTCCGGTCCTACTGACGTGGCAGTACACAGTGAAGAGGGTGACTAACCGGGACACTGGGTGAGTCCGGTCAAGGGTGACCGGACGCGTTCGATCATGAAAAATTGTCTTTGGATGCTTACTGGAAACGACCAGACGCTGAGGTCCTATGCCCGATCACTTTGAGCAGCGCGTCCGGTCACAACTTAAATGTGCTGATGACCGTTGAGATCGGACGATCAGCGTTTGAAGCAGGGGACACGTGGCATACATCGCGCGACCGGACGCTGGGGTCCAGGGTCCAGTCGATCAGACCGGAGCGTCCGGTCACCTCGTGTTGTGCCCAGTGAAGGGGTATAATGGCTCTATTTCGTGGGGGCTTCTATTTAAGCCCCATGGCCGACTCTAGCTCAGTCTCTTGGCTATTTGCATTGACATAGCAACCTTGTGAGCTTAGCCAAAGCCCTCCCACTTATCTCCGTCATAGATTCAATATCTTTGTGAGATTGGGAGTGAATCTAAGTGCATTGCTTGAGTGTTTGCATCTAGAGGCACTTGATATTCGTGTTTCGCTGTGGGATTCGCTTGTTACTCTTGGTGGTTGCCGCCGCCTAGATGGCTTAGAGCAGCGAGGATCATCGAGCGGAGGTTGGTGATTGTCTCCGGCTCCAATCATGGTGATTGTGAGGGGTTCTTGACCTTTCCCCGGCAGAGAACCAAAAGGTACTCTAGTGAATTGCTCGTGGCTTGTGTGATCCTCATCTTGTGTTGGTTGTGCGGCACCATGTGATGCCAATTAGCGCGTGAACCTCCAAGTGAGTGAATCGTCACAACGAGGACTAGCTTGCCGGCAAGCAAGTGAACCTCGGTAAAAAAATATTG